TCAACGAGAAACTTCTGAGTGCCTTACAATGGTTTCAATAGAGCGATTTTTTTCTTTTTGTTTTTTTTGTTATTTTTGTTGTTGTCCTTCCCACCCTGCTCCTGTTCTGGCGCTTTTTCTTTTTTGTCTGTGTGGTGAAAAAGGAAAGGTAGGAGATGGAGGCTTCATTTTTGTCTATCACAAAGACTTGTATTGTTGCTCTCTGTCTCTATTTCTCACCATATAAAATGCCTCCCATTCTGGAAGGAATTCCATCTTGGAATATGAAAGGGTGGCTTTTGTTTTTTGTTTTTTTTTTTCCTTCTCGAAACTGGTGACACCATGCTTTCCTATGTATCTGTCTGAACTGGACTGAGATGGAAGCGAGGGCTTGATTGACGGCAACAGCTGCTTCTTGTAGTCAGAGATTCAGTCATCTCAACTGTGTTTGCGTGTGTGTGTGTGTGTGCGTGAGTGCGTGAGGAGTGCGAGCGTCAGGGGAGGATGTTGTCAAAAACACACCGTTTCTGTAGCCACCACCACCACCACCACCGCCGCCGCCGCCACCGCCAAACAGGATTTTCAAGCACACTTGATATCATCTGCATTAAGATGTGAAATTGTCTTTTTTTTTTTCTAAGAAAATCTGCAAAAAAAAAAGTTTATTGAAAAAAAAAATATTTTTATGTATTTTCACGAAATAGCTTTTAAATAAACTTGCTTACATACTGGTTGGATATAAACATCTTAATGTGTGAATATAAAGAAAGAAAAAATACTAAACAGCTTCTAGTTCCATATTTTTAAAGCCAAATACATTGCATATGGGGGTGAGATGTTGAAATCATGTAATTAATTCCTATTCTAAACTTTCCTGTATATTTTATTCTTTAACATTTGGTGTTGATATGAAATATATGTCAATGCTTGACATTTGGAATCAATCCTTCTCTGTTTTTCTTGTTAGAGTTGGTGCAGCGATTTTTTGCTTTCTACTTTTGTCTCCTCGTTTGCTTCAGTGCTTTTTGCTGTTTGTATTTTTTCTGATGAGGACCAGGGTCGTCGTTCTACTTTCAAGAGGAAATTAATCTGTTTACATGCCATGAATGGAAAAACAATAAACTACAAAAAAAATTAAAAAAGATAAATAGTATGGTATGGTATTATTGCATCACATTTTGAGGTGACATCAAAAAGAGGCATCCACATCCACATGGTTTACGTGATGGTTTTTAAAATGCCAAATAAGTAAGAGTGCCAAATTCTAGTGCCAGTAGATATAAATATAGTCTTAATATACTCAGTCACTGTCATCTCAGTGAATGTAAATGATTCTGATACATTCTGTAACTTTTGTAACTAGATGTACAGTTGGTGGCAATGACAGTGCTAATACAATAGCCTTTTTCGCTTTGTTTTCCAGTCTCCATGTATTTTTGCATTGATCTGACAATGAAGTAGCACCAGTTGCATGTTGTTGCCGCAAAATACTACATGAGTTGATTTCATTACTGCCAAACGTTCCATTTTCATTTCAATGTTGAAGTTGTGAGGTTAACTGTTTGAAATTGGAAATACAATGTAAGACATATATACAATATATACATATAAACATATATTTTATATAAAAAGTTAAAATATGAAAAATGATATCCCCCCCCGTCAGAACTACTTTACTCCCATCGAATACTGCGTTTGATTACTTAATCTGAAAACACTATTGGGTTTTTTTTTTTGTTGTTGTTTTCTTTTTTAGTTATGCAGTCACACAGTACGTTACTTAAATTATACAGACGAGCACTTCAAATTATACTTCACATTTTATTTGATCTTTTTTTTCTTTCCTTTTGAAATCAACCTATGAAGAGCCCTCCACTGCAACCAGCAGGGAGATAAACTATACTATTATTATCACTGTTGTTTTTTGTAATCAACTATAGAAACATATACCGTAGTTGCTAATCAATTTCATTGCATATTCAGACTATTCCACTGACATTTTGTATATGGAATGTGTGCTAACTTGTTTATTTTTTGGGACTCTTTCTAAATAAAAGTGGCTGATCTCTTGTTATCTTTCAGTGTGTGATTTCTTTAGAAGGGCCCACTTTTAATCCTAAACAAGGTACCCCAGTGATAAGCAATCTCATGTTTTATTTATACAACCCAGCCATATACATCATCCTGATTTTGAGGCTGATTAGTCAGTTTGCTTCTACACAACTAAAAGTTTGGGTAGTTGCATGACCTTAATAATGCCTTCAGTAACTTCAGTAGTTCTGTTTTTCATCTCGGGGGTGTTCATTAAGAAAACAATCACCCAGCTATAAAAATTATAAACATCAGTTCAGCGATTTGTCAAGTTAATCAGTGGCTGGCTGGAAAAACTGGAGATTTTTCAACAATCTTTTACGGGTTTAGTTGAAGGCTCTGCACAGCCAGGGTCCATCTCAAGCTACATGTGTAGGTACTTCTCCTGATTAGATGTCTCGACAGGTCCGTGGGCGTGAACAGACTGTGCTTGACTGATATCACTCTGACTCCCAAATGGCTTCCACACACCCACGTGTGTGTTTTCATTTACTCGAGCTGATTAGACCTCTACTCAGACAGGTCAGGATTTGCTGGGAGTCGCAAAAACTCAATATACTAAAAGTGGCGTTCACACCAGCAAAACTTTGTCACTTTGAAAGTCATATTCACTGATCTACTCGAACTAGGTTGGGTCAGACTCTTGGTGACGCAGCGACTATTCTCAGCTCCAGATGCTGAGTCTCTGTAGTGCATTATCTAACAATGCCAGTCAGTCCGCTGGGCTCCCATCACTCAGTCACAATAGAGTTCTCCTCTATTTCCTGCTCCCTGGGATTCCATTTGATTCAATGAAATTTAATGAAAAGGGGAAATAAAGCTCTCCAAGCGAACAAGCTTGCTAATTGTCACTAAGGAAAGCCATTAGCTCATTAGCTTAGCTTAGTTAATGGGACCATAAATTCACCATGCATGATGCATACGTTCACAACCTGCTCTACAGGAACCATTCATTTTCCCGCTCCTGTTACACCTGAGCTCCTCCCTTCTTCACAGGCCAGATGACTGAAAACATCTGGACAGGGGTTTATATCTATACCGTGCAGTCTTCACACAAATTTTGAAGAAAAACAGTGGGTTGGCCTGCATAAGACACCAGAAGCCCCTGTGAAATCCTTTTATACAGTCGTCCTCAGATTTATTCATACCCTCCCATTAAAGAAGGAAAAAAAACACTAATAAGTTGAAATTGACAAAAGTAATAATAAATAAAAAATGTAATAAAAATCATGACATTGCTTCTGAACTATGGTTCAACAGAAAGATCAAAAAAAAAAACAAAGAAAACAAAGAAAACAAAGAAAAAAACAAGCATGATGGGACCCGTAAACTAATATTTTGTTGAACAACCCTTTGAGACAATCACTGCAATCAAGTGTTTTCTGTAGCTCTCAGTCAGACTTCTGCATCTGTTGACAGGTGTTTTGATGTTGGTCCACTGCTCATCAATTTGTCCGGGACAGTTTTTTTTTTTTCTTTTTCTAAATTATTCTTTTCAGCCACAATTTACAAGCAATGCCTTATTTCACTAAATTATAATTTAGCAATTTTTAATTTATTATTATTTTTTTCAGTTTCTAGCTATTTGAGTGACGATTGTGAATTTTGCCTTTTCTTGAATGGAAGGATATGAATACATTTGATGACGACTGTGTAATACCGTTTTATTTTTATTCAACAACTTTCATCAAATTTGAAAATGTGTCATCAGCATTTTGTAAAACGTCAAGAATATAAAAAGAAATTAGGATTTCCTTGTTGCATTTTTGGAAAGAGATTGTCCATCTCTACCTGCGACTCACTGGCAAATTCACGTGTGTGTCTTTGTGGAGCGCTACAATCCGTGAAGCACAATAAATCTCACAGTTATGAGCTTAAAGTGCTGAGTGCTGAGGTGCCTTTGGTCCATCCTCCTTCTGCTGAGTGTTAATGAATGTCACACGTTTCCATGAAGACGGCTGACTTCCCTCTGCTCCATAAAGATAATCCCGCCTCTCTCCCACTCGAGCCATATGTTCCTCTTCAGTTTCTTTCCGTTTATTTCCCATCGCGCCCACAAGCTAATCACATCGTATTAAAATCATGTTTGGCCACGCTTACACCTGATGGACGGACACCCAGGAACTACTAGGAAATACCAATGTTTTTACTGGGTATATTGTGGGGGTTTTTTTACACATAAATATTCCCATAAGCATTATCAATAAGCAGCTCACACATGCATGCAATTAGTTAAATCATACACATCATTGTGGTCATTGTTCTATTTTCATTCGAGCATTCCAATACCAATACTACCATACAAGTGTTCCAAAAAAAGATTTAGTGTGGCTCAATACAAAATATGTCAAATGTCATAAACCAAAAACACGAGGATGTCCTGCTTCATCCAGTCTCATTTTGCATTCTGCATATTTTATTTTAGCCACAATCACCCACAATCCTCTGCACAGAAGATACATCTCACAGGTCACCGCGTGTTGCTCAAGTAACAAGCTTGAGCTGCCGGGAGCTCGTTTCACAAAGCAGACTGCAACGTATCTACGAGCAAGTTGGTCCAAGTTAAAAGCTCGACATTATGTAGGACAAAGCAGTACGTCCCAATCGTATGCATGAAACATGCAACAGTGTGTACTTTGAAAGGGCAGCTGTAGTCCACACTAAAAGAAAAAGCATGAGATTTGGAATGTAGAGGCTGTCGGAGCAGCACAAGTTTTGTTTTTATGTGCTGCCACAGTGCTTGAACGCAGTGTGTTAACTAATGCCAGTTTATTAGTGTTTTCATTATGGTTTGTCTGTCAGCGGGATTACGCACAAACTGTGAAGCCAGTTTTGATGACATATGCTGAAGAGATGGAGCATGGGCAAGAGACGAACCCATTAAATTTCACTGTGGATCTGTTTTGAGTTGCAAAATCACAAACCATAGC